CTTATGAGGATCTTAGGTTTCATACATCCCAAACCAAATTCTTGATCTTCCTTTCTAAAACACATTTATCTTCCAATGTTTTCTATTTAATCTGAATGCTACTACCATCTAGCCAATTATGCAAACAAGAAATACAATGCAGTCATTTTAGGCACCAACTTCCTCTTATCTGACAGTTTTATCTCAAGATCTTTCAAATATGAAGTTACTCCATTTCTACCATAATCCCAACATTTTTCCACAAGAGTACTGCAGTAGTCTCCTAATTGGTCTTCTTGGGTCTATTCTTAACTTTCTCCAATACATTCTCCACACCGTTGCCAGATTAATATTTTCAAAACATAAATCTGATCAATTCACCCAGATGCTGCTTGAATACTTCAATGGATTCTCACTGCTTTGGGGATAAAAAACAAAATATTTACCATAGCCAGTGAAGCCCTGTATGATTTAATCCTTTTTAATTTTGCCCAGATGTCCTCTTAAAGGACCTGTACACAAAGACTCACTCACAGGAACTCACCCTGGTCTCCAGTGGAGGGATGGTGACTCAGGGGGCTTCGGGGGCATGCGAGGGGCAGACTGGGGTGTGTGGTTCCCCAGCAATGGCTGGAGGACATAACCATTTTCACTGTGTGGGGTCTTGTTCCCATGCAACCAGCAGTCAGCACCATCTTTTCTGTGTTGAGCCCTCCCCCATGTAGCCAAATCTGAATCTCAGTTGCTCCACCCTACTGACTCACTGGGACACAGCTTTACCCAACTCTCCCCAAAACAGAGACACTTTCCCAGCAAGCAGCCAGCCCCATCCAAATTGCAGTCTTTCTTGGAAAACTATCAGAGGTGGGGCCGGTGGCAACTGGCCTCAGTGTGCTGTGAGACTTGCTGAGTAGCTCCAGGCCCAGCTCTGGACCAAACGAGAATGTACCTAACCTGGCGAAAACAGCCCTTCGCATTCTAATGACTCCCTGAGACCCTGCCTCATCCAACTTGTATACCACACAAGGCTTTATTAGTGGCTGAACCTTAAGGGAGCTGGCAGGTGGCAGCAGGTCTCAAAGTGTACTGGCTTTTTGCAGAGCTACCTAGACCTGGTACTGGTGGCAGCCATCTTTGGTTCACAGTGTGGTCTTTCCCACATGCATTCAGGTTTAGCACAGGCAGCAAACTATCACAGATCACTCTGTAGCTCCTACCAGGTAGTCCCCGGCTGGTCACAGACAGTGGTTGACCTGGGCCTGCCCCAGAACCAACATACTTGGAGGTTGGCTTCAGCCTACCAAAGAGCACCACCCAGTTACCCCACAAGTGACACACACAAAAGGCAGTCCCAACAGCACCAGAGCCCACTGTGGCGAATCCCACTCAGTGGGGTAAGCCCCCCACATAGTAGCCTTTATGCTGCGGACATGGCCAAACCCCAGAGCCAATCAACCTGAGGGTCAATTCCACTCACTGATGTGCCAATAGCAATCAAGGCTCAACTATAACAGGAGGGCACACACAACCCACACAACAGACACTCCTGGAGCACCTGGAGCAGGTGACCAGGGAGACTGTGCCAGGGTCCCAAAGGGCACCTATTACATAAGGCCACCCAGCCAAGATTGGAAGACATAGCAGATCTACCTGATACAGAAAAACAGACAGAGAGAGCCAACCTGAAGGAGGAAACAAATACGTCTCAAATGAAAGTACAGGAGAAAGCTCCAGAAAAAGAACTAAATAAAATGAAGGCAAGCAACCTCCTCCATAGGCCTATGGTTCTCAACCTTGACCATATGTTGGAGTCACCTGAGGTCCCACCTCATTGAATTCTGATGAAGTTATACCAAGGTAACAAGTGGGCATGAGTGTTTTCACAAGCCCTTCAGGATAGTCCAATGTGCAGTCAAGGTTGAGAACCACTGTTCTAAGGAGCCACTTTTCAGGTTGCTATATAAATGAGGAATATCCAGTTAAATTTTAATTTCTAACAACAAAGTATTTTTTTTAGTATAAGTATTTCTATACTAAAATGTTATCCTAAATCCTGTTCGAACTGAGTATCCTGTGTTCTTATTTGCCAAGTGTGTCAACTTTCGTTTCTCTGACTTTATTGTGTGGCTTCATAGGAAACAGGAGGCTAAATTACATTACTTAATTAGAAAGTATTACAACTTTTTGTCTAGTCTTCTTTCAGGACTATTTATAATAAACCTCATACCTCTAAAAATTTGTTTCTTAAAAAATAAAAAAGCACTGTAAATTCAGCCAGGTCTTTGCTTCCATTTGCTTTCTCTTGTTTTCCATGTGGTTCCTTCCAGCAGAAGGTCAAGTCTCTCTCAGGGTTTAAATCACTCTGATATCTTCCATCTCATTTTTCTGACTGTAGCTGGAAAAAATTTCTGGTTCTAAAGGGTCATGTGATAAGATTGGGTTGTCCTGGGTAATCCAGAATAATTTCTGTGTTTAGGTTCCTATCTCTAATTACACCAGCAAAGTCCCTTTTGGTATGTGTTATAACATACTCATAGATCTCAGAGATTGAGATGTGTATGTCTTTTGGGGACCACTCTGCCCATCACAGTTGTCTTGGGTGTAAGCTTCACCCCTTCATTCTGTCATACCCTCTACACCATACCTTTGTTGTAGTGGAGCACATCCTCCAACTGTTTCCTGAGAAAGAATGCGTGAAAAGAATATTTAAAACTTTTTACACCTGAAAATATATTTTTTTTGACCTCATAGCTTATTAATTTCTAGATTGGAAATTATTCCCTTGGAATTTATTTTATTTATGTTTCTGTAAAAAAGTCCAATGCCGTTCTGATTTCTGAATCTTCATAAATGATCATTTCTTCCTTCCTGGAAGCTATTAAGGTCTTCTTTCTAACCCATGTGCTTTCAAATTTCCCAATAATACACTTTGGTATAGATAATATTTAACCACTGAGCTGACAGCTCATGTCCTATTGCCCTTCAGTTCTGAGAACTGTTGTCCTGGTTTTCTTCATTAATTTTCTTTCTTCTATTTGTCCTGTTTTCTATTAGATATTTGACCTTTCCTTGTGTAATTGCCCTGGCTAGAATCTACTATACAATGTTGAATAAAAGTAGCAAAAACAAACATCCTTGTTT